TCATCTCAGGGCTAGCTCGACGTAGCAGGCCAAGCTTGCTACACATCCTGAGCTCTCTTGGTTGTAGCGTTAGATCTCTGCAGCAGTTTCTAATGTCTGTTAGAAACTCGCAACTGTATTGCACTTAAGAATTTACTTATTGTTGCACCGTGTTTATAGTTTATAAGAGTAAGAATAAGAATAACTTTATTCATCCCCAAGGGGAAATTGAATTATCTGTCACCTTATCTATTATATGTCAAAGAATTATAAAGCCTGATGGCTGTTGGTATATAGGATCTTCTGTATCTCTCTGTCCTGCATCGAAGAGAGAGGAGCCGTCCACCACAGTTTTTTTGGTCCATCAAGGTGTTGTGGAGTGGATGATCTGGGTTGTTCATGATGGCCTCGAACATCTTCTGTGACCATATCTCCACCACTTCCTCCAGTGATTCCAATCACAGAGCCAGCTCTTTTGACTAGTTTGTCCAGCCGCCTTGCATCTTTGTGTCTGATGCTTCCTCCCCAGCAGACAGCATAAAACAACACACTTGCCACCACAGACTGATCAGACATCAGCAGCATCTTACTACAGATGTCGAGAGATCTGAGCTCTTCAAGAGAGCGATCTCTTTTTGTAGAGAGCGTCTGTGTTTAGGGACCAGTCCAACTTATTATCAGGTGTACACCTTGATACTTAAAGCTTGGCACCACCTCGATGTCCACCCCACAGGTATCCACTGGCTGAAGAGGGGGCTTGGACCTGTGGAAATCTATGATCATTTCCTTGGTCTTTGAGGTGTTCAGGAGGAGACAGTTCTTGTGACTCCAGTCACTGAAGGCTTTTATCAGGTCCCTATATTCAGACTCCTGCCCATTTCTGATACAGGCCACAATAGCAGTGTCGTCCGAGTATTTCTGGATGTGGCAGGACTCAGAGTTGTATTTGAAGTCTGCCGTGTACAGTGTGAACAGGAATGGAGCCAGGACAGTCCCTTGTGGAGCCCTCGTGCTGCTCATTCATGTCCCAGAAACACAGTTCCCCAACCTGACATACTATGGCCTTCCTGTCAGGTAATCTGTGATCCAGGAGATAAAGGAAGGATCCACTGCCATCTCTGTGAGCTTGTCTTGAGTATGTTGTGTTGGATGGTGTTGAATGCGCTTGAAAAATCAAAGAACATGATTCTCACATAAGCGCCAGGTTCCTCCAGATGAGCTAGGGCACGGTGAAGCATGTAGAGGACAGCATCATTCACTCCAATGTGTTTGTATGCAAACTGCAGGGGGTCGAGTTTGTCTTTGACCTCAAGTCTCAGTAGGCGTAGAATCAGCCGCTCTAAGGTTTTCATGATGTGCGAAGTGAGGACTACTGGTCTGAAGTCATTAAGTTCAGCTGGACATTTAATTTTTGGTACCGGTACAACACAGGAAGTCTTCCACAGTGCCGGCACCCACCCCAACTGTAGACTGAGGTTGAAGATCTTGTGGAGAGGTTGACACAGTTGGGCAGCACAGTCTTTGAGGAGCCTTGGACACACACCATCTGGGCCAGCAGCCTTCCCAGAGCAAAGTCTTCCCAGCTCCAACCTCACCCCCATCTCTGTGACAGACAAGGGTGGAGGCACAGGTGTAAGGGGGGGGGGTTTAGCTGTCACATTGGAGTTATACAACACAAGTTGTGGGGGTGGAGGTGATGAAGGAGAAGGTGGAGGAGGTGGAGGAGAAGCAGCATTGGAAGTGGGAGTGGCTGCCGTATTGAATCTATTGAAGAACTCATTGAGTTCATCAGCTCTTTCTGCATCACCCACCACTGGCTGTCTTTTCTTGTTATTGTAACCAGAGATGGTACTGATTCCTCTCCACATTTCATGGATGTTGCTGTGTTGTAGATTCCTCTACATTTTCTTTTTGTATTCCACCTTTGCCATCTTAAGTCTCTTCTTCAACTCATGTTGCACTTGTTTGAGCCGTGCTTTGTCACCATCTCTAAAAGCTGCATTCTTCACATTGAGGATTGCCTTTATGTCACTGGTAATCCAAGGTTTGTTATTGTGGAAACAGCGTACAGTCTTTGTAGGTATGACTGTGTCTCTACAGAAGTTGATGTAATTAATAAAAGTCAACCTGTCTATCAATGTCCATGATGTTCTCCTCTGTTTCCAGCAGCACATCCCAGTCTGCATTCAAAGCAGTCTCTTAGAGCCTCAGTAGCCTCTGGTGTCCATTTCCTGACTGTGAGTTTAGTTGCACGCTGCCTCCACACACAGGGTTTGTAACATGTCTGCAGAAGAACCAAGTTGTGATCTGACCTGCCCAGTGGTGGTAAGGCAGTGGCTCTGTAAGCTTCTTTGACATTGGCATAAAGCAGATCAAGGATTTTATTTTCTCTGGTTGGACAGTTAACAAACTGTGTAAATCCAGTCAGGTGAGAGGAGAGGGACACATGGTTGAAGTCTCCTGCTGCGCAAGCGGTTATGTCAGTCAGAGGCCTCCACGTGGGGAAGACAGACAGGACAGGAGAAAACTCAGACCAATCATTGCATTCGGTACAAATGCAATGATTGGTCTGAGTTTTCTTAGAACCATATGAGAATGGTATAATGATGAATTTTTATTTCTGGTGGAATTCACTTATAGTGTGCCATCAGCTTATTCATAGCATTTTAACCTAAACAAAGAAAAGTGTAAATTTCCAGAAAGGTAAGTGTTGCTTTAAATGGTGCCACATTTGTAAGGAGCATGCATTTGTTGGATGAGTAGCAGAGCTGTGTATGGGGGTTGCACCCATTAAATATTTGCCAGATCTTCTCTGCCAATGCCAAACAGTTTTTTTTTTGTTTTTTTTTTTGCTGTTGACTCTTGTTTGGTGTTGTTTGGTGGATTCGATGATTGAAGTCTGAATAAACAAGACATATTGGCAATTTAACAATTTATTCATTTCACAAACAGGGGCCTCAGTAGTGTGTGGAAGAACCATATACGGCCACAACAGCCTGGCACCTCCTCCTCATGCTGGTCACCAGCCCGGTCACACACTGCTGTGGGATGGCATCCCATTCTTCAACCAGCATGTGTCGCAAGTCAGCAAATGTGGTTGTGTTGGTCACTCTGGCACGAACAGCACGCCCAAGCTGATCCCACAAGTGTTTAATGGGGCTGAGGTCAGGACTGCTGGCAGGCCATTCCATCCTCTCCACTTTCAAATTCTGGAGGTAGTCTCTGATAAACCCCACTCTGTGGGGGCAAGCTTTGTCATCTTGGAGGATAGAGTTCGGTCCCAGACTGTGGAAATATGGGATTGCTACTGGTTGCAGAATTTCATCTCAATATCTCTGTGCATTGAGATTGCCTCCAATGATGACAAGCCTTGCTTTTCCAGTGAGGGAGATGCCGCCCTACACATCACACTGCCTCCACCAAAAGATGTTACTCTACGGGTGCAGTTCTTAGCAAAGCTTTCTCCGCGTCTTCTCCACACTTTGAGCCGACGATCCAACTGCCATAGGCAGAATCTGGACTCATCGCTGAACATAACGTTCCTCCACATGTTCAGATTCCAGTGCACGTGTTGCCGACACGTGCAAATGGGCCTGACGGTGAAGGGCAGTCATAGCAGGCCTCCTACGGTTCCTAAGTGCTGACAGGATGAGGAAAAGGTCTTCTTGGGGTGCCATCTTCTTGGGACACCCTCTTTGTAGCACCTGTCTCTGACATCCCCCGTTATATGGAACTTGACCCTCAGTTTGCAGATGGTACAAGGGCTCACTCCAAATAATGCCGCAACTTGGTTTTGTGGAACACCAGCTTGAAGTTGCCCTACCACTCAGGCCCTATCCAGATCAGTCAAATGTGGCATGCTGATTCTTGTAGCAGACACCAACTGACCACTGTAGCAGGGCCCATGCTCACAGATGCTCAGCACCTGGGGGTACTAGAAGCTCAAAACAAGAGTCAATAGCAACAGCAAAAACAGCTGTTTGACATTGGCAGAGAAGATTTGGCAAATATTTCATGGGCACAACCCACATACTCAGCTCTGCTGCTCATCCCACAAATGCATGTTCCTTACAAATGTGGCCCCATTTAAAAGAGAAATAAACAGGCTTTCCAATAGTATAACATTTTTTGCCAAGAAGCATTGTTACAACAAAGAAATAATCTACCAAACACAAATTTCCTTACTTTTTGTGCTTAGTTTATATTTCACAGTGTTCTGACCACGAGTAGATATTTTCCTTATTTCATTAACTAATAACCAGGGGTGAAAGGAGGCCTGTTAGGTCCGATACTCCGTACTACTAAAAGATTGTGTTGGTGGGCAGTACCGAGAAGAGGGGACAGCAGCTTCCTGCCTAAAGCAGTTTGTCAAAGGTGGAAAGATATTCACAGAGACAAACTTCCTGGATCAATAACTCATAAGTGAAATGTTGATAAAACACAAATGACGCATCTTTCCAAGGGAGACAATGAGTTGAATTTCAATTACGGTTATATTAGGTTTTTTTTTTTTTTTTTAAAATAATGATTTGAACAGTTTTGTTAACTCTCAAATTATTCAGTTGAAAAATAAAGTGTCTGCCATAATTAATGTCAAGTGTTTGTAATTTCTTTCTACACCATACAGGTGTTAAATTGAATGCATGTCTTTAGGGAAGCATGAAGCAGGGGGCGGGAGAAAATCAATGGTGACCAAGGAAGACAGTGTACTTAAATTTAGTTGACGTCTGTTTAGGGTAGAGCTTTCACATCTAATATATTGATAGTTTATTGAATAATAAAAAAAATATCATATTGCAATTGTTATATTTTGTGAATAAAATCTGAATCTACAGTGTTACCAGTAACAGATCTCTGTCAGGTAAATGTAGTGGTATAATGTTTTCCTCTGAAGGAGAAGTACACAGTATGTTTTGCCTTTCAGGCAATTTGTTTTCTAAATATTTTGTGTGTTTCATGTAGTCTAGTGCTTTCTACTGTTTAGGAAGTTTACATCACTTCCTGTGTAGACCGGAAGTAGGAAGTTTACATCACTTCCTGTGTAGACTGGAAGTTGGTGAACAGTGGTCAAGTTGAAGGCTAAATATTTGTAGCTGGAGCTCATTTGTCAATCTGGTGTCATCTGGTCGTTCCTCCCAGCAGAAGCATTGCTTGTAAGTTGCTCATATGTATATTTAACAGTTTCCTTCAGATATTGAACAGTATTTTTGCTAATGTTAAAAGTGTAAGGTTTATTTTGCCAATTAAGTGCCAACCATTCGGCCTAGTTGTGTGAGATACCTGTTCACATGTAATTGCTGTATTGTGTACATCTTTGGGGTAAATTCATATGGCTGTTAAGGTGATTAGGCAGTTTTGGGGGGATGTTTGTACTGATGTTTGCATATTTGATTGGGTGTTTATGCTAAGTGGACCACAGGGTGGAGGCCTAATCACTTTGCCTTTGCCTGCCTTACCATTTGAATGTCAGCCATATTGGTGTTAGAGTTTACTATTTCTCAGTATCCTTTGTTACTTATTTTGTTTATATTTAGTAGTGATTGGTGGTGATTGGAAATAGGATAATTTATCTGTGATCCATTGATATTTGGTAAAAGCAACTTATCATCTTATAGATAAATTTACATTATTGTCTTTTGTGCTTTTGATATTTTTTCAGTTTCACTCCTAATACTCAACTATATGCACATTGGGTGTGCAATAAAAAACGGAGCTAGAATGCTACATCCTGACTCTTGAGTTGTTTGTATGGAGTTTGGCTGGCTGTCTAGTTGAAGTTACAACACTTCAGCAAGGACAGTACAGTGAAAAGCAGAAACTATCTGGGGTTTCAACGGCAGCGACAAAGATAAACCTCCTCACATCTAATATGGAGATGAAAAAAGGTGACAGCGCTTCAGTGTCCAGCATGGGGAGTAACCGCACAACATCCTCATCCGCCAGTGCGGCAGCAAGAGCCCGCGCCAAGGCTGAAGCGGCAAAAGCACGTGCTGCATTTGCAGAGAAGGAGGCACAATTAAAAATGGACCAGGCTCAAAAGGAAGCAGAGTTGCACTTGGGAAAAGCTAAATTGGAGGCAGAACTGGGAACACTAGCCCTTCAACAAGAAGCAGCTGCAGCTGTAGCACAAGCTGAGGCTCTAGAGGCAGCTGAAGAAGCGGAGAAAGTGACAACATTGGACCATATCAGAAAGCCAGTGTTGGAAAGTTGCAGAGCGCACAAGTGAATACGTGGAAGAGCAGAGTAAACACTCATCACATACTGGCTCACCTTTTCCTTCTAGCCCCCCACTTCTTCATGTTCCTGGCGAGAGCCTCATCATATGGGGAAACCCTGTGGAAGATTATCCACACCCGCGACATAGTGGAAACAGTAGGACACCCGTTGCTCATGACTCATCTGTCAATACTTTTGTATCTCTCCCCAGGAGGATTGCTACCCTTCCGAGGGAAAGTGAGCACCAGAGGGATTCCAGGTCAGCTCGCCCCTCTATAAGCCTTACAGCCCAGCCCTATGCTCCCCAGCACGCTGCATCTTCCACTGGCCCTGCACCTGTAACAGAAGACTTTGCAAGTTACCTAGCTCGTCGTGACTTGGTGAGCACAAGTCTCTTCCATTTTGATGATAGGCCTGAAAGCTACAGGGCATAGCAGTCATCATTCAACAACGCAATAAGAGGTCTTGGTCTCACAGCTAGTGAGGAATTGGATCTGCTATCAAAGTGGCTTGGCAAAGAATCTTCTGAGCATGTCAAAAGGATGCGCTCTGTGCATATCAGGGACCCTGAGGCAGCGCTAAGGAAGGCATTGGGACGGCTTCAGGACTGCTATGCTTCACCGGAAATGATAGAGAATGCTCTTTTCAAAAAATTGGACAATTTCCCTAGAATTTCCGCCAAAGATTACACCAAGTTAAGGGAGCTGGGAGACCTTCTTATGGAGATTCAGTATGCCAAGGAGGAAGGCTACTTGCTGGGTTTGCTGTACCTGGATATGGCCCGTGGCATTAACCCCATCGTTGAGAAACTCCCTTATGGCCTCCAAGAGAAGTGGATCTCCCATGGCTCACGGTATAAAGAAGAGAATGGGGGCTGTTTTCCTCCATTTGGCTTCTTCACCAAGTTCATCTGCGATGAGGCACATGTGAGAAATGACCCCAGTTTCTTTCTTCCAAGTAGCAGCAGCGGTACCCTTGGGAAACCAGACAGGCCCCCCCTAAAGAACTCAGGCACAAGGAACCCAATATCTGTCCACAAGACAGATATCTCTTCAGTTGAGGACCCTGATAGTGACATTCCTAAGCAGAAGAATGATGGGCCGGGAAGGAACTGTCCTATTCACAATAACAAGCCACACCCTCTAAGGAAATGTAGAGGCTTCAGAGCAAAGACTCTTGATGAAAGGAAAGCCTTCCTCAAGGAAAACGGGATATGATTCAAGTGCTGTGCCTCAATAACTCATTTGGCTAGGGACTGCAAAGCCATGGTGAAGTGTAGTGAGTGCGACAGCAGTCATCACACCACAGCTATGCACCCAGGCCCAGCACTTCAAATTCATAAGGCTTCTTCATTCTCATCAGATAATGGCGGGGAGGAAGGAGAACACTCTTCTAACACTCTTCTAACACAACGGCAGTCAAGTCAGTCCCAGTGCACTGAAGTTTGCGGTGTAAGCCAAGCGGCTAGGTCCTGCTCAAAGATTTGTCTAGTCAGAGTGTATCCTCAGGGTCAGCGCGACAAGGCCATCAATACATATGTCATACTTGACGACCAAAGTAATCGTTCATTGGCCAGGTCAAACTTCTTTGAGCTGTTCAACATTCAGAGCCACCCATCGTCATACTCCTTAAGAACCTGTGCTGGTACTGTCGACATGTCTGGGAAAAGAGCAGAGGCTTTCCAAATCGAGTCGCTTGACGGAAAGGTCAGTCTTGCTCTCCCAGCACTTACTGAGTGTAATGAAATACTCTGAAATACCAACACCGGATGCGGCTCTCCACCATCCACATTTGAGAAGTGTGGCAGCCAACATTCCAGAGCTTGACCCTGTTGCTGAGATTCTCCTGCTGCTCGGAAGAGACATTATCAGAGTGCATAAAGTCAGGCAGCAGATCAATGGGCCACACAATGCACCTTTCGCTCAAAAACTGGATCTGGGCTGGGTGCTGGTGGGTGATGTGTGTTTGGGGAATGCACATAAGCCAACTGTGAGCACATTTAAAACTAACGTGTTGGAGAATGGCTGCCCTACTATCCTTACTCCCTGCAAAAGCTTCCTGCAGCTTAAAGAGAAAGTCTGTGATGACTTGGAGCAACAAAATAATCTCTTCAAGCTAAATAAAGTCACAGAGCAAACACTTGGACAAACAGCGTTCAACAGGACAAAATCGGACAATAAGCTTGCCCCGTCCATTGAAGACATAAACTTCCTAAACATTATGGACAAGGAAGTTTATAGAGATGAGACACACAGTTGGGTTGCTCCTCTCCCGTTTAGAGTGCCAAGGCAGCGCTTACCCAACAATCCTCAGCAAGCACTCAATAGACTTGCCTCGCTGCAACGCACACTGGGTAGGAAGCCCAAAATGAGAGAGCAGTTCATCACTTTCATGGGAAAGATTTTTGAGAACGGCCATGCTGAGCGAGCTCCACCGCTGAGAGACAATGAAGAATGCTGGTACCTGCCAACTTTCGGCGTCTATCATCCACAAAAGCCAGACCAAATCAGAGTGGTATTTGACTCTAGCACCCAGTATTCTGGTGTCTCTCTGAATGATGTGCTCCTCACCGGCCCGGACCTTAATAACTCTCGTCTGGGAGTTTTGATCCACTTCAGAAGGGAACAGGTTGCTATCCTTGCGGAAATCCAACAAATGTTCCATTGTTTTCTTGTCCGTGAAGATCATAGGAATTACCTAAGATTCTTGGGGTACAGAGACAATGACATGGCCAAGGATGTCATCGACTACAGGATGAGGGTCCATGTTTTTGGCAACAGCCCTTCTCCAGCTGTTGCCATCTACGGGCTAAGAAGGGCTGAAGAAGGGTGAACAAGAATATGGAGCGGACACTGTGCAGTTTGTGGAGCGCCATTTCTATGTGGATGATGGGCTTCTGTCCCTAGCTACTGAAGCTGAGGCCATCGACCTCCTGAAGAGGACTCAGGCATCCCTCAGTGACTCAATCCTATGGCTACACAAGTTTGCTTCAAACCGTCAAGATGTAATGGATGTATTCCGACCTGAAGACTGTGTGGCAGGTATTGAGAACCTGGACCTCGGTGGAGAAGCCACAACCATGCAGCGCAGTTTGGGACTCTGTTGGGAGTTAGTATCTGACACTTTCACCTTTGCAGTGTCAACCAGTGACAAGCCATTTACTCGGCGTGGAGTCTTGTCCACGGTAAACAGTCTTTTCGACCCCTTGGTCTTGTGGCTCCAGTCACTATCCAGGGAAGAGCTCTTCTGAGGGACCTCATGGCGGACATGAGTGATTGGGATACGCCACTCCCAGAGGAGAAACTCCGTAAGTGGGAAACGTGGAAAAACTCATTACAAGATTTGAAACAGGTGTCTGTCCCACGCACATACACATCAATCTCTCCTTGTAAGGCAACATATACAGAGCTGTGTGTGTTTTCGGACGCTTCCACTAAGGTCATTGGTGCAGTGGCATATCTGAGGGCCAAATACGAAGATGGACGGATGGATGTGGGCTTTGTCGTGGGAAAGGCAAGGCTCGCTCCTCTTTCTGAGCCTACTATTCCCAGGCTTGAGTTGTGTGCTGCAGTGTTAGCAGTTGAAATGGCAGAGCTCATCCAGGAGGAGCTGGATCTCAAACTGGATGCTACCAAGTTCTACTGTGACAGTAAAGTAGTGCTTGGGTACATAAACAATGAGACCAGGCGCTTCTATGTGTATGTGCACAATAGGGTCCAGCGCATCCACCAGTCTACAAAGCCTGAACAGTGGTCCTATGTTTGCACCGAGGATAATTCTGCTGACCGTGTGTTCAGATCAGTCCCGGCATCATATTTGGTGCATACAACATGGTTTACTGGACCCACTTTTCTGCACAGACTACCCAAAGATGATCCAGCAACGGAAGAGACCTTTGAGCTAGTTAGCCCAGAGGAAGACACAGAGATTCGGCCTCAAGTGACAAGTTTAATCACGAAGATTCAAGAGGGAAATCTTAACTCGAACGTTTCCAGCGTTTCTCCAACTGGAGGTCACTCATCAGAGCCATAGCATTCCTCATCCACATCACCAGATCTCACAAACACTCCAACCAGCCTAACAGATGTAAGGGGTGGCATCGTTGTAACTTACCTCATACTCCAGATGAGTTGTCTCAAGCCAAAGATGTCATCATTAGGGCAGCTCAGAGAGAAGCCTTCCCTAAAGACTTCATGTTGCTTTCTCTTGGGAGAACTGTGGCCAAGGACAGCACTCTTCTAAAGCTCAGCCCTAGTCTTGAGAACAATCTCATCTGTGTTGGAGGCCGGCTGAAACATGCATACTTGGACACAGGAGAAAAGAATCCACTTATCCTCTCTAAACACAGTCACATCTCTGTGCTGCTGACACGGCACTACCACGACCAGGTGAAACATCAGGGTCATCACCTAACAGCAGGAGCCATCAGAGCAGCAGGGTTGTGGATCATAGGGGGTAAAAGGCTCATCAGCTCCATCCTACACAAATGTGTAACATGTCGAAGACTCCGTGGCAAATTTGAGGAGCAACGTATGGCAGATCTACCTCCTGAGCATCTTCGTACATGTCCACCTTTCACATATGTAGGGTTGGATGTTTTTGGACCCTGGTCAGTCACGGCCAAAGGCACAAGAGGAGGCCAAGCACAAAGCAAGCAATGGGCACTGTTGTTCAGCTGCATGAGTTCGAGAGCAGTCCATACTGAAGTACTGGAATCCATGGACACTTCAAGCTGCATCAATGCACTCAGGCGTTTTTTCGCCATCCGTGGGCCTGCAAAACAGCTCAGATCTGACTGCGGCTCAAATTTCGTGGGCGCCTGTAAGGAACTTGGACTACAAGATGGGCAGCAGAGCCCGAGTGTGCAGAACTACCTGAGCCAACAAGGCTGCACATGGGAGTTCAACCCCCCTCATGCCTCTCATATGGGAGGATCATGGGAGCGCATGATTGGGGTGGCTCGAAAAATCCTCGACTCCATGTTGCTCCAGGAGAAAACGCACCTTTCTCATGAAGTCTTGTGCACTCTTATGGCGTCGGTTACAGCAATAATGAATGTGAGACCTCTCATCCCAGTCTCCACAGACCCCGACTCCCCATTCATCCTTACACCTGCAATGATACTCACCCAGAAGGTCGGGCTCCCACCTCCTCCTGGGGACTTCACAGACAAGGATCTTCTCCACAATCAGTGGAGACAAGTTCAAGCTCTTGCCAACAAGTTTTGGACTTGTTGGCATCACGAGTATCTCCCAACTCTGCAGAGTCGACAAAAGTGGACTGTAGCTCGCAGAAACCTATGTCCAGGTGATACTGGGCTGTTGAGAGACAATCAAACTGCCCGTAATGACTGGCCTATGGTTATGGTCACGTCTACTTTCCCTGGAAGAGACGGAAGAGTCCGCAAAGTGGAAGTCAAAACCACAAATCAGGGGT